ATGTTTCTTTTGTAGGGTTCCTACACTATGAGTGAGTACCTGTTAAGGCACTTCTAGCTTAAACAGCTCTAAACAGGTTGACCTTGTTTTTAACGTATTTAATTATAAAAATACATACATTCTTAGCTATAGATGAACTTAATTCGAGTTCTAATCAAATAAAAAGAAAATCCAGTGTTTTAAGGGCCCCTGGGCAAAGGTTCGATTCCGGGGCGAAATGGCGGGTACTGTGAAATTTCACTGTTAGGGCAACAAATAAAATTGGTTACTCCTAGTACTTACTACCTTGTCGATACAGACTGGGCCCCTTATATGAAGTATAAATAACATATTATGAAGTCAATGTAGAGACAAAAGAAAGTATGTCGTATAACAGGGATTTTACCTGCAGATAATTGATGATTAAATATGATCGATTAATTGTATTGCACATTACAAGTAGGACATCATTGATTAGATATCATTTAACTGTCTATCAAATTTACATATAAATAGGATACATGTGAGCGAGTAAACTTATTCTATTAAAAGTGTTTAGACAAAACTAAATTAACTCAATATTAAACATGAAGGTTTTAGCTGTTGCTCTATTATTCGCCCTCGTGTGCATCACCCTGGCTTCACCTATTGGTATGGTTTTTTTTTAATTTCTTGAGGCGTCTAAGGGTGAGATTCAAAAACTTGACTATGATTACAGTATGTACAACCATCATACGTTTTAGACGTATAGGAGTAAGAGTTTGCGCTCATACTATATTATATAAAACTCATATCATACTCTTGTGAGTCTCACACGAATATATAATTTGTAAAGTTAATCTCTTTCAGCTGAAGATTTAGACAATCCACAACTGTCTGTAGAAGGCATGGAATCAATGGAGATGTTAAATGGCGCTCGTCAACGCATCTGCACCGCTGCGTTGTGTCAATCTGTGTGCAGAAGTCTGGGATGGCGCACCGGTAGCTGCAACGCCCAACTATTGTGCATCTGTAGACGTTAACCGTTGTAATTCTTAATTTAACTTTAGTTTACTGCTAATTTTAAGGTATCAATAAATCATTAGGCCTATTTCTTTATTTTATTTCCATTTTGTTAAAAAACAAAATCTGTAGTAAGAATTTATTTACAGTTTTTCTCATCCGTACTACGCCCTTGATTTGAGAACTGGAAGTGAATATCAATTTAAAACCATGAATAAAAAAAAATAGAAAAAAAACATTCTTATTCAAAAAGTCTCTGGCTTACCAAACCACGTAAAAATAAAGAACTAAGTAAATAAATGAAAATGATGAGAGCCAAGACTAATAAGGTATTCGTGTGTACACGCTTCACCCTTAGGTAAGGCATATTATTTTATTTTAATAATATTTATTACTTTGCAGTAATTATAGCCGGAGTCCATTCGTTTGTTGAGAATAATTTCTATAAATAAGGGGTTACTAAATTTACATATCTGAGAAATAACTATCTGCAGATGAGATGAAACCAATGGAGACGATAAATGGCGATCGTGTGTCGGCAATTTTTGTGTATAATAGAGACAAACATAGTTTTATCAGTTCCACGAACTCTCAAACTCTGTATAAAAATTATTCAAGTATATAGGATATGGTAGGGGAGCCCAAGAGGGGATTTCGGGATTTACTAAAGCGCGGCAGATTACTATATAGGGGGATACCTTGTACCCGGTTAAGTACCTCCACAAAATATGAGGCCCATATATAAGGCCGCGCGTGAAGGAGACAGGATCAGATTAGTAAAAAAAATTGACCATCAGAAATTCCCGAGCGCGTCAGATTAAGGTAGGGTGAGTTAATTACATCCTAAAAAGTGTATATTCCACTAATCTGACAATTTGAGAGTGACGGAAAAAAAGGGAGGGCAACAAAGTTGTAAAAAAAACGTCATCTCGACATTCTCGAGCGTAGCTAATTTTTCTTTTATTTTGAAGGAAATAATTCCAGAATAATGAAAAATATATAATCTGATGATTTCCGCAAGCCGAAATAACAAAAATTCGTCGATAAAGTTAAATGCGTGCAGCTGCGTGATGCCTACATTTCCTTAAACCGATCGGAATCTACTAAACGGCGTTCAAAATATTTCCCTCAAAATTACATTTCCTGTGAATTTGAACCGATTCGGACCGATAGATTTTGAGAAATTTTGAAAAATCTTAAAAAATAAGAAATATTTTTTTTAAGTGGTTTCTTTATCGATCAACTTCAAAAACTAATCCGCCTTTGAGCTTGAAAAACCACGTCGATCGCCACCAAGCTGGTCAAAAGCGGTTGATTCGTTCGAGAGATATCGTACATGAAAGAAACCCGAAAAAGTGTTTTTTCGGGATTACTCCGAAATTTGTGGTTCGATCAATTAAAATTGCAAAATTACTTATGAGAATGATAAAACTGCGTCGAATGCCGCCAACCGCGTGAAAATTGCTTGATCCATTCAAAAGTTATTGCGGTTTGAAAATTCCAAAAATAGTGTTCTATGAAACTTCTATCAGACTTTCGAGCTGGGAGAGCTCAAATGCATAGAAATGTTATTTCTTTGAACTCAGCGAGCTCAAAATATCAATTTTAAGCGCCCAGGAATGGAATTAGCGGGAAGTTGCAGGGATGGCCCTTTAGGTGAACCGTTTTTCTATTTTTTTTTTGTCAGATCAGGCGAATCCCTCTAGATAATCGTCAGATTATGAGACAGTACGTTTAGAACATAAAGATGAACCACATATATCTTAATCTGACGCGCTTGAGTATTTCAAAATTGCGATTTTTTTTGCAAATTAAGAAAATGGCTGTGGGTTTGCGTCCCATCGAAATCGTCAGATTAGTGAATGAGAGATTTTTTTGGTGCACTTAACACTCCCTTAGAAAATCTGACGCGCTCGATAAATTTTTTTTTTTTTAATTTTCAACCCTTAAATACAACCACCCGCATCATGCAAACGATCAGATTAACATACGTACATTATTAAAAATACGTAGGGCATAGATGCTATCAATATCTGACGCGCTCGAGGATGTCCATGCAACAGTTTTTTTTTACATATTTAACTATCTATAGCCGCTTCCCCCACCGATGAAAAGGAATTTATCATATAACATTTTTTTCTTCTTTTTATCCAAGCTTTGTATCCCAATAGGTCTCTACGACGCTCGAGTAAATCCCCATTTAGCATCGTGGGCTCCCTACCAATATTACTAAAAGTATTTGAAAAAAGAATGATTTCAAAATATTGCCAAAATAATCCCAACACTAGTTTACAAAACCAATACTAGATGGCGCGGATTCAGAAATAGCTTTACCTTTTTAAAAAACTTTATAAATATCAATAAAACCTAAATGTTTTTGAATACAACCCTGAGGTAACTAAAAACAACTACTAAAGCCTATCAATACCAAACTCTATACTTTAAAGAACTGGCGATATTCAACGATAACGGCGGAGTGTTAAAACGCGGTGACATTATTTTTCGGTTGCATAAGTATATATTCATTGCCTCATATAATTTATATGGGAGTCCGTTTCTACACAGGATACGGTACGTGGGCTAGATCCGTTAAATCTGGCCCTCTGCGCCTCTGATGTTTTTCCGGAGATAAACGCGTAGTCGGTGTGGCGGGGACCCGACATACCGCGAAAGCAGACACGAGATAGCCTCACCCTGAAGGGTTGATCACAGAAGTATGTTCGTACAGAACTCGAGGACGTTCCTCACACCCACTGTGTAGAAGATTTGACTCCCTCTTTTGCTTATTTAAACTATTAAAATATAATAGGAAATTCTTTTAATAAAGTTTTAATAGATAATTGTTTCATAAGTGTTTTATATTTACAAAGTGATTTAAGCGAATTAGATTTCATACAAAAGTATTAATATTGCTTACCTTATTTATTCCTTAGTGTTATCTTTTAAGAATGTTGAATTTTGTTTATTAATAATTTTAAATTAAAAATTTTATACCTTTACATTACATTTAATATAATGACATTCGAATAAGCTTCTACCAAAGACAATTAAAGTAGACTGTAACTCTCGTGATACTAACAAAAAATTACTTTTAATGCCACAAGCTGTATCAAAATATGAAATGTTTATCTACTAATTGAAAATTATTAAAAAACAGCCGCGAGATCGCTTTAAAAATCATTCTTAAGCACTGAATGCAAGGAAGGCGAAGTAGACTAGATAATCTTTGAATAGCGACGATAGAATGCCAGCGGCAACGTCTCAAAATATGTTATAAAGTTATGGGATGTAGACCATAAGATTTATACAACTATTTTAAAGCTAGAGAAACCCAAACAATGATTTATTGGTACTTATTAGTTATTGTAAGCCGCTTAATATTAACTTTTATATATGATTTTTACCGTTATGAGATCTTGGGTTGAGACAGGAAGTACGTAATACAAAATATGTTTAAAAACATACTTATCTATATTAAGAAACAATTTTACCTTCATATGTAGACATCTAATTTATACAAACTTTATTTTATATGTAGGAACCTATCTTATATGTATGTACATACGTTTTGGTAAACCAGTTGATAGTTTTTATTAGAATTGGGGATAAACTTGACTTACGCTAAACATTTCTTTAATTCCTCAAAAATATAGTTCTCATTATTAGTTACGAAATATTTAAGTAATAATAATATCAACGAATTGAGAAGCGAAGTACCCAAACAAAAAAATGTGGCAATTTCTAAGCCCTACGCGTATTACGCGCTGCATAATTATAGAGTGTTTAGTGTGAATATAGTATTACAATACAGCAATAGATCGCATTAAGAATAATATTTTTCGGAACCAAAGCTCACTGAGATGCCGAATATATTAACGCGCTTATGACGTTTCAACATCTTAACGACTCTACTTCTTCGTAGTCTTCATTACTGAAGGTTGTGCCTGTCTTTGAAGGCCCTAACCGATACGTAGACTTGCTGCCTCTACCCCGCTCTATCCTCAGCTTATCTCAGGACATTAGGGATGTTGAGAACCATGATTGGAACCATAAAATTCAGAACAACGGGTAGGAGAACAACTTCTCCTGCTATCACCCCTCACTACCAGTTTTTCAAGACTATCCGGTTCTCTCCTGGAAATATAGCAAAAATAGCTAAGCACCTATTTGTACATGATAGTGACATGATAAGACAATCTTGTGGTGTAAAGTTGGTGGTGATTGGATATTTTTGCAGTCCATGGTATTCGCAACATTCTTCTCCGATATCATATCTCGAATGCCTCTATCTAGAAGTAAATATCGGCTAAAATCATACTTTATCAAACTGTTTTGTATGTAGCGCATCTTTATAGTGCCATTTCAATCTATGATTTTCATAGAAATTTCAAATGCAGTAAGACATAATTTCTTAACTAATTATTAATTTTAGTTAGTTAAGTGTTATAATTTAATAGTTTTGAGTATATGTTTTATGAGTTTATTTTCAAGGAATTTGGTTCTTTAGAAAAACAAGTAGGCATGCGACAAAAAGGAGTTGGCCGACTGGCAAAAAACATTTGTGGTTATTGAAATTAATAGTAGGTCAAAGTATGTAGGTGTATCAATTTTTTCATGCAAAATATTTTTTATATCCTACAGCTAGTAATAGTTAGTTACTTTCTCTCATATATATCATATACGAAAGAGAAGTAGAAGATATACATTTATTCAAATTATTGCATGTTCTTGTCCCATTAAAATTATTAACTGATGAATTAACAAATTATTTGTTTTATTATTTATCTATTTATGTTTTCACTATTATATTCATATGTCTAATTAATTATTTACTATGAATACTATAATAGACAATTGAAGTGAAATTAGTTTTTGTCTTTATAAAGTTATATTTATGTTCAAAAATATGTGGGAGTACGCGGAAGGCGCTATTCAGACGCATGGTCGACACACTTTACTATGATTACGCCTGACTCTATATTTCCCTGTAATTCAAGACTTTGTTATTTAAATTTACCAAAGTATAGTTCCTTCTAGTAGCAGCGTGTGTGCCTGTTACGGCTGATACTACAAACAAAAGCTGATTTCTTTAAATTTTAAATTATAATTTGGATTAGTAATATGAAATTTACTCCGAATTGTTTATGCTGTAAAGACGTGAAAAAGGATTCAGCAAAACTTCGCAATACTTGAATATTGTTAGATTATTAGAATTTTTTGTTAGATTAAATGATATCATGGATTTCTGCTTATCAGTGACGCGATCCCACTAATTTAATTGTTTTTGATAATAACCTAGTTCTTAAGACATTTATACAAATATGAGTGTTATTACTTGAACATAAACTTATTTTTATTAAAATGCTAATAGTTATAGCCTTATATATATCTACTAGCTGACGCGGAGGTTAGGGGCCACTTATGAATTAGGGGAAAAGGTTACATCCCCTAAAGGAAGGATAATAGAGGAAATCCCAATACATATTGAAATGCAATCAAATACTGAGTCAAACGCTTTCCGCGAGTTGGGAGTGTAGAACTATATTACCTGGAAATTTGGTATCGAAATCGTTTTAGATGGTGTAATGCATAAGATGTGCGATGGTAAGCGACGTAGGTGAGTGGCTGTTAACTGGACAGCTGGATGACCTATATTACGACGACTGATGGTTACTTAGTCATAGACACGATTATATGCAAGCCAAACGGAACGATATTATTGATATATTATAAAATACTTGGTCCAAAAGGACGCCTGGTTTGTTCTTTCCCAATCAATATACGAATCGATGACGATTCATCCATCACTTTTTGTAACAATAATAGAGACAACACAGTTTCACGATCACTCAAACTCATATTGTTAATAAAATAATATATTTACGTTTATCACGAAAAATTAAAAGTATTTAAAAAATAATAATTTCAAATGTCGGCAATATTTTGCAAAAACAAGTATATCTAATCTCAATACTAGTTTACATAACCAAGACTAGGTGGCGCAGATTTAAAAATAGCTACCCCTTTTTAAAAACCCCATAAATATCAATAAAACCTAAATACTTTTGTATACAACGCCGAGATAACTATCAATGACTACTTATTCCTAATAATTCCAAACTCTACATTTTATAGAACTGGCGAAATTTAACAAAAACAGTGGAGTGCTAAAACGCGGTGACATTGTTTTCTCGGTTGCATAACTATATATACGTATTCTCGTGTTTAGCCAATGGGAGTCCGATTCTACACAGGATACGGTACGTGGGCTAGATCCGTTAAATCTGGCCCTCTGCGCCTCTGACGTATTTCCAGAGATGTACGCGCGTTGTCGGGGTGCTGGGGACCCGACCTACCGCGAATGCAGACACGCGATGGCCTCACCCTGAAGGGTTGATCACACAGAAGTTAGTTCGTACAGAACTTGAGGACGCTCCTCACACCCACTGTGTAGAAGATTTGACTCCCTCTTTTGCTAATAATAATAATAATAAATCATTTATTTGCAAGAAAGTGGTACATTTATAACGATCAATTATAAAAATTCATACAATCAGCCACACAAAAATAGGCATGCAAATGACACATTTAATTTTCATTAAGTCATTTAATAAGAACATCAGTCATAATAATAAGTCAAGCTATTTATAATTAATTGTTGTCAATCTTATAGGCCAAATATTCGCCCGAGCTATAAAAGCACTTTGACTTTAAAAACCTTATCACCTTCCCCTTGAAAACATTACATGGCAGCGATCTATAACTTCTAACTCTAACGTTAATTTAAAAAAAAAGAATTTATTTAATAATAATTTTTTCAATAAGGGTTTTGCTATTTTTTTTTTTACTATATATATTTTTTTGATCAGCCCTCTGTGCTTGACACACCATTTACTTTTTATCTTAGGCATTATATCGGTTTCCTCACGATATTATCCTTCACCTTACAAGCGAGTGTCAAATGCGGGCATAGGCAGAAAGTCCATAGGTGCCGGGAATCGAACCTACCATACCTTAGCTAGATAGCATATTGATGTCACTACGTCAACATGGGCTCTTTGTATCTATATGAGATAGACAGATATATGTATGCTATAGAGTATTATGTAAAAAGTGTATTGTACACGACTATTTATAATTATTCATTAAACAGGTTACACTACTAAGTAACGTATGGCTAATTACTGATTTGGATTGTTCGAATTAAACACACAATCAACTTTTACTAAGCAATAATAGAATCTATTAATAAGGGTTAAATAGTATTTAACGATAATACCTATGTTAAACTTTGTTAAAATTTTAATTATTTTATCACTGTCATTAAAATATGCTCGTTTTGCTATTAAAAAATATGTTAGGAGCAGTAAGGGGAACCGAAAGTTAGCAAAGCGATTGTTGCTGGCGCATTCGGTATTCACAATAGCGAAACCCACGTGACCCTCCCGCACTAAGCAGTCACGCCGTGGAAAGGTATGCGCAATGCATTTTGCCAAGTTAAAAAAAAACCCGTAATATGGCAACAGTTGTATAATGCACAGCTAACATTTGTTGGGTCTTTACCTGTTTAAGTACCATGCAGGTACTTTACAATACATGCAGTTACTTACAGGTAGGACTTTACAATACTAATCTTATCAAGTCTCTGTACCGTTAATGCACCCCTGTTAGAAGAACATTTAAGATACTCGGTGCTTTCTTTATTTCGACTGTGTTTAGAAATAATAAGCCAAGCATCGCCAAATGAATTAAAAGAAAATATGAAAACGACTTATACATTTGATTATTAAACAACGTTAACGTTTCTGATTAGCTTAAATTATTAACCAACTTTATCCAAATAATTTTTAATTTTGTTCACGATTATTCCATAAAAAGGGAGAATTAAACTTTTAAGCTTACACAAATGAAATCGGAAACAGGTAGAATTAAAGTAGAAATAGGCCTAAATATTTATTTATATTTTAAAAATACAATAAAACAAAAGCTTATAATATAAAATTAAAATAGTAGTACATAGTTGTATCAACGTCTGCAGACGCACTGACGTGACCCGTTGCAGCTGCCTGTGCGCCATCCCAGTCTCCTGCACAAATTGTAACACGACGAGGGCGTGCAGCTACGTGGAGCACTATTTAACATCTCCATTGGTTCCACTGCGATAGAAGACAGTTCTGGAGATTCTATTTCTTCAGCTGAAAGAAAGTGACCATATATTTATTATTTTCTTATGTCACACGTTGAGTTAGAATTATTTTGCATCACGCCGCAGTTGCGCCCGTAGCATAGAGTAAGGATGCGCGTTGGCCGGGTCAAAAATCAAAATGGTTTATAACAATATTAATACAATACAGTTTACTTTATTAAAATCATGCAAGAGTACTCATTGGATTTTACAAAATTCTATTCCTCAAATTATTTGTAAGTAAATTATAACTATTTATTAGAATTTCATATTTTAATAAATATTTTTATTTAGATTAGATTGAATGTTGCGATGCGTTGCCTACTGAAGCTCGACTTTTTTTAACATAGCTAGTTTTGAGACTTGGGAGTTTAATAAATATAACTATATAAACTTACCGATAGGTGAAGCCTGTGTAATGCACACGAGGGCGGTGAAAAATGCGCAAAGAACTAGAAACTTCATGTTTATAAGTGAGGGTATTGTCTGTTCTGAATACTGGTTTAGAATATGCTTTCTGGCTCTCAAGCATCGTATTTATATGCACATTTTGTAGGCAGTTTAATGAAATCTTATCAAAGTTGTACTACATGCATTGTTCAATGTTCAATTTAACTATCGATAATCATTATTAAAGGGAATACAATCTATACCTATGCTTTTTTATCTGCAGTTGTGTATAGTCTAGCGTCAGTACTTATTTCTGGTAATTTTTTTTTTAAAGACAATTCACACCAATTGACCGAGTCCCATGATAAGCTGGTGAAGCTTGTGTTATGGGTACTAGGCAACGGATATACATACATATTATAGATATATAGACATATAAATACATATTTAAACACCCAAGACCTAAGCACAACACCAAATGCTCATCACATCGATGTTCGTCTCAGCCGGGGATCGAACCCGGGACCCATGGATTCGCAGTCAGGGGTACTAACCACTAGACCAATGAGTCGTCAAATTTGAGTCGGAAAAAAATGTAATTGCCAATTACAACGATATTACCCTACGTTTACATAACGTACTTTTCCCGTAACATATGTATTAATTTGGGGCACTGGTGGCGAATGCAATGAAAAACCGCCAATCATTTGTTTCTTTAACTTGAGATAGACGGTTCAGGCCACAGTTCTGAACCAATGATATTTTATTTATATGTATGAAATGAACACTTGCTCTAACAGAGTAATAAAACGTCGCGAAAATATCCCTTTTCCAAGGCTTAAATCAAAAATAAATCTAACTCTATCTTTTACACTTTAAGAGTTTAGTATTTTAGGTAGCAAGACAAAACGACTACTTGAAACTGCCCATACTTCATTTCAGTAAGAATCAGTTACGCATTAAAATAAAATTATTGTCAAAAGTTAATTTCTAAACTAAGTTCTTTCTTTATTGAAGAAGGCTTCTTCTATTGGCATAATAATTTTAGGTCTTATTAGGTTCTTCCCAGTAACCGATACCAGTTATTTGAACCATACTATCAGTGATTTGCACCAAGTAGGTCATCTTCGATTAGATTTGATGAGACTACCTATCAATTTTGCATATAAATACTCTCACATAAACTATATAGTAAACAATTAGAAACAAGTGTTCATTCAAAGTACTCATTAAAATATATATTAAAAAATAAACTAAAATGAAGGTTTTAATGCTTGCATTTTTTGTCGCCCTCGTGTGTGTCACACATGCTTCATCCATCGGTAAGGCAAAATATGTTTAATAACGGTAATGCGAAATATTTATTATAAAAAATTATAATAAATATTAGCAGTAGGTGTTAGTTCGTTTGTAGAGAACATTTGGCCATTATGTAAAGATTAAAAAAAGAAATTATAGTTGCTATGAATAATTGTAAAAATAAATAAATATCCGAGCTGCTATATATTTGTGTTTCAGCCGAAGAATCAGACATTCCACAACTGTCTACTGATGCCATGGAACCAATGGAGATGTTAAACGGCGCTCGTCAACGGATCTGCACGGCTACGTTGTGTCAATCTGTGTGCAGAAGTCTGGGATGGCGGACGGGCAGCTGCAACGCCCAACTATTGTGCATCTGTAGACGTTAACCGTTGTAATTCTTAATTTAATTTTAGTTTACTGTTATTTTTAAGGTATAAATAAATTATTAGGTCTATTTCGCCTTTTTAATTCACCAACCACCATATTTTTTAGTTCTTGTTGTATTGACAAGTAAATGTACCAAGTAGAAGAAGTCTCATATTTGTAACAGTCGAATAAAATATTAAATACAAACACATGCCCGTGAATTTAGTATGATATTTTTATTCTATGCTACAGAGGCTAAATATCAACTAAATAAATATTCTTTTTATCGGAATAAAGCGCATTCTGAAATTATAGTAAATACTATGTCTGAACAAATGATGTTAATGTTGTCTGAAGCTTAACTTTTAACCTACTTGAGTTTAATTACTAGTTTTAATTAAAATTTAAAAATAGTTACAGTGAAGTTAATAGTTCTTGAAATTTAATAATAACTCTATTTTAGTAGTTTTAATTGTATTTTCCAATGAATAACATTATTTACAACACAAATGTAATCAAAGTAAAAATGAACCTGATCTCCACGAATCGAACCAGTGAATAAAAGAAAAAATATAGACATTTATGGCCTCATTTGATAGGAGTGAAATCTTTCAAATACTAAAACAAACGGACATCAAAGAATCGAAGCTAATTTAAGAAAAAACTTTTAATAAACCTTAATTTTTTAATATTTTCTCAGTATTTTATTATATTTACTGCATTTTCACCACCCCTTTAAGGTGGCATTGAAATTAACATCCCGATATACTTCTTAGATATATAAATTCACCGCTGACTGTTCTCCAGGACTAGTTGAACATGTGAACTGTCTAAATGGTCAATCTTCACAGTGTACAATTATGATAAATGTGCTGGCATACATAACACTCAGCTTGGTCTAAGTCGTCGAAAACCAAAGATGTTATATGTTCAAGGGGTCCCAAGGCAAATTCTACCGCCCTTGCGCGCAATTGCTTCGTTGCCTCTTATGTACAGAGAACTTGATGTTACAGAGACTTTGCGGGCTATATTTTAAGGCTAGTATGTCGATAGTAATAATTAAGCCTCATTAAATCAAGGAAACATACTTCGATATTAATTACAAAAGATACAACGATACAATTTTTATACAATTTTTTACAATTTTTTTTTATTCAAGGACCTCTTATAGAGTATAGGCCTCCTCCAACTGGCTTCTTCTCTTATCATCTATCTTAAGAATTTCTCTCCCAATCTTCCCCGCGAACTTCTTTAAGCTCGTCAGCCCACCGTGCAAGAGTAGCCCTTTTCACCTTGTTTGTCCATCTGCCATTGTTCATGTGGCCCGCCCATTTACACTAAGTTTCATGCAATGGGATATAGTACCAATAACTTTTGTTTTCTTTCTTATTTCTGTGCTTCTTATATTATCCTATATTTTTAAATTTTGTACCCTACCTTCCATTCCTCATTTTTAACTCTATAGTATTTTATCTAAATAACTATACTTAAAAAGTTAAAACTTAAATTTAGACATTGGTTGTAGATAGAATGAAAGAAGAATTAGGACTAGTTTTTTATTTACAGCTTGAAAAATAATACAAAATTAAAATAGTTTTAGGAGTATTAACGTCTGCAGATGCACATTCCTTGCGCGTTGCAGTTTCCGATTAACCATCCCATCCTCCTGCACAAGTTCTGACACACGGCCGAGCAGATCCCTTGACGAGCGCCGTTTAACAACTCCATTGGTTCCATGGCATCTGCTGCCAGTTCTGGAATTCCTACCTCCTCTCCTGGAACACATAAGTAACGGGAGACATAAGTAAAATCTTGTGTTTATTTAGAACACATTTATACACAATACACAAAAAAATATACAGAAGAAACTTAACTTTTTACGTTACCATTAATCTAACGAATCGACGACGTATCACAGTGATCTACTCTGTTAGTATTTTAATTGTCTTTATTACTTTTTTATTTCCATTCGAGAAACCCGTTAGTAATTACAAGAAAAACTTACCGATTGGTGAGGCCTTTGTGACGCACACGAGGGCAGTAAAGAGAGCAACGGCTAAAACCTTCATGTTTACAGTGAGTTTATTTTAATCGCTCCTGAAGATTTATTTTAAATTGTTTCTAACTCGTGTCGTATTTATATGTACATTTTGTAGGCATGAGACATGAAAACTAATCAAAGCACTACATGCATTGTGCAATGCAATCGATAGAATCTTATCACTGTTGCTACTGGGAAGAACCTAATAACAATAACATGGTCAGTAAATTAGTCCCTCTTATCAGTCGATATAAATCATTTCTTAAGCCATCGTATCAAATAGGTATCTTAAAAAATGGTTACAAAATTATGTATGTTTATATTGCTGCAGATAAGGTGTAAGTAATTCTAATAGCGGCATGTTTTCGTACCTCGTCACTTGTATTACAAGCTGGCGACAACAGCGCTACGGATATTGAAAGAATTAAATCAGTATTGCGTTTTCGCGGTACATGACATCCTGCCATCATCAGGATTCTTTGTTAGCGAGTGCCATTGACAGCCAATTATTAACTAATTATTGAGACAATATTTGAAATCTGTATTGGTTTGGACAGAGTAGCGGGGCAATTTTTAATTAAACATGCTCTTAGATCATATGTTGTATGTAATAGTTGAAATAAAATATGTGAGTTAATTTTATAGTCACTATTTAAGCTGCTTTGGATTTGAAATGTTGGTATAATGTAGGACTGCCGAAATTTGATACATTAAAATTTTTTTGCTGAAAAAATAAAATAGCAAATATGTGATAATGATAACAAAATATAATATGTGCCTAACTAATCCAACATAAAGTATATTTGTTCTGGGTATAAGAAGCTACTTTGCGGATGAGTTTATTTAAGACTAGCAATGCCCCGCGGTTTCACTTGCGTAGATACCGATCGTGGTATAGTGGAAAGTCTACTGAGTCGGACTATAGATATATTTTTGTTATCATAAAAGTTTTATTTTACTTAGTTTTTAATTACATCCTTTCAGATTATTCTACACACTTACATCCATAATCTAATCTGCATACTGATTTAACTATATAACGAATATATATCTAAAACGTTTTATTATTCGTAACATCATTTATATAGAATATCCGACATTACTCGTAGTAACAAATTTAAAAATACTGTACAGGTATTGGAAAATTCTTGATTTCAAGTAGGTAATGAAAGAATTTTTGAAGTAGTTTTTGTGTGGAAATATTACAAACATACATACAAAAACACAATTGCTTCCTCTTTATAATATTTAATATTATATTTGAGATAGGCATGTAAAGGTCAGTACTCACATACATTACTCGATAGTTTTACTCGAAGTCGAGTAAAAATCAACGTGTGGAACGCAAAACTCACAGCTCGAAGGCTCGCACCGAGCCGGCTCGATGGAATTAAATGAAAGTAATTTCCTGTGTTTTTAAGAGAAATGGATTTGCGAGTTTATTCCAAAAGGGCTATAGAAGACTTTATTAACACATATAGACAGTGTAAGTGTTTATGGAATGTCAAGTCCAAAGATTACTCCCACAAAAATAAGAGAAATTAATGTTATGATAAATTTCTTTTAATTTTTTTTGATTTTCTTATAAACCACTGTGAGACTTGCTAAATACAGCCACCGTCTCCTTTGTTGCACAGACATCCTTTGGCCTGAACGGTTCGGTGAATACTGAACGGCGCGCCTCACTCGATAGATCAATGCTCAATGTGTGGACGAAAGCCCATGCCATGGGTTTTACTCGAGTACTGTGAGTACTGACCTTTAAGGCTAAATTTGTTATTTACATATATACGAAAAATATTTTATTTTATACCCCCATTCTATATATCAATTTCATACTTGTGCCAAGAATATAAATATTATATTACATAATGTGAAAAATTCTCCTTTCCGGTCTTTACCGTTGCTAATTTTACCTTAATTAGGTCAGTGTTTCTGGGAAAATAGATGTGCACCCCGAGACTATAATGAAGCGAACAATATTTTGAATTGCTTAGTCTTAGTATGCTTTTGTCTATAACAGTTTTATCAATATGCCGCAGAAAGTTTGATGTCTGGACCTATAAAAAAATATATAATAGCGCAGAAATTAGATATGATATTAGTAAATAAAGCAATCAATTCTCTTTTATTGTTTGCGTCTTATCGGAACGTTTTCATAAAAATGAATAAATTTGAAGTTTGTGCAGAATAAAATAATTCGGCTTGAAAAATTTACTACTTTACTACAGAAATTTACTACAGCTGGTAATTCAAGACTTGAGAGCGACATGAGGACTTCGTTCTCCTCCATATGCTGTTGGTGTGCTGAGGTCAAGCTAGGAACAACTTCAATTAACGACAACACCGCACGGGACGCCCTACACCGATAGTGACTGAAAAATATTGTCTTCGCCACCATTGGACCAGCGTGTTACTGTTTATTTTATAATAGAAGAAATGATGATTTCTATTGGAAGTATCCATAATATTATACATACTGAATGTTTTCTGATGTACGGAAAACGAATTTAAACGTTAACGTTAAACGAATATCTCTGGGGCCATGAATTTGAAAATGATGACGCAGTAGTCGCCATGGTATACGGTTTTTAAAAGATAAAAAAACCCTTTTATAAAAAAAGGTAATTTTAGTTTTATTAAAAAAAATATATAAACTATATAAATCTGAAAGGTGACTACGCCTAAAAATCAATTAACCTTTAATAAAAGATAATTTTCATAGTAACTTTTTATTGAACACTCCTGGTATATCCCATTAAATAATACTTGAAAGTATAGATAATTCCCGAAGAATAGGATAGAAAGAAAGTAGAAATAAGCCTTATTTTTTATATACAGCTTAAAAATAATACAATAGCTTATAATACAAAATGAAAGTAGTTTTAGGAGTTTTTACGTCTGCAGACGCAGAAACGTTGCGCGTTGCAGCTTCCGTAACGCCATCCCAGGCTCCTGCATAAGTTCTGACACATCACGGGCGTGCAGATCCGTTGACGAGCCCCGTTTAACAACTCCATTGGTTGCATGGCATCTGCCGCCAGTTCTGGAACCTCTACCTCCTCTCCTGGAATACAGAATTAGTCTAGTTAGTAAGGAAATGATAGTACAAGCTAGTCTTTATTTAGAACACACAAAACACTACAGTGAAATATGCACATGAACCGTAACTTCTAACCTGAGAAGTTACCCCTTATGAATTGACGCCTACCACCACTGTGTTCAACACTGTTAATGTAAGAAAGTCTTCATAAAGAAACTGGATAGGGCCGTACTGGGTAGGATATACAATAAATACTTATTGTTACCTGTTTTATTTCAATTAGCCCTGATAATAAAAAAAAACTTACCGATTGGTGAAGCCTGTGTGATGCACACGAGGGCGGCAATGAGAGCTATGGCTAAAACCTTCATGTTTATAGTGAGTTTATTTTAATCGCTCCTGAAGATTTATTTTGACTTGGTTCTAGCTCGTGTCATATTTATATGTAAAGTTTGTAGGCAGTTACGTGAAATCTAATCAAAGATTCCTAACTTCCTACTTACTAACTAAGTCCTACTTGCATTGTGCAATGCAATTGATAATATCTAATCACTGCTCTGCTGGGAAGAACCTAATAACAATAACATGGCCACACCCCTAATAAATAAGTCATTTGGGGCTATGTACCCTCTTATCAGTCGATATATAAAACGTTTCTTAATCCGTCGTATGAAATAGGCATCTAAAATAACATAATAAAGTCCTGACGTCATCAGATTTCCTTGATAGCGAATGCCATTGCGACGCAATTACTAACTTGCTGGTGAGTGACGATGCTTTCCTTCACCACAGTAGCAGCCGGAACTCGAACGCTCGACTCCGTGGTTGAGAGTCTAGCGAGGCGTACAGTCACTAGGCTAACAATGCTCAAAGTTGTTAACTGCCACTTACTAAAAATGTTGGCTAAACATATTGCCAACATTTTTAGTTATGGTTTTTTCTTAAAACGAGAAAGAAATTGTTAATTTCTCAAGAGACGCCCGCACAAATCAAGTTGTTTTAGGTCTGAAAAGGGATTGTTTCAATTGTGTATTCTTAAAGGGTATGTGACGGGTAGTAGAGAGTTTAGATTGAAAGGCTTAACAAAAAACTGTGTAGTCACATTTCTGCGTATTCTTTTAATTCGAAACAATTATTTATTATCGAATCAAACACCTGGTTATCTGTGGAGTACCAGATGTAGAAGTATTAAAAGTATTTCTTTATCATAAGGTGACATTGTAATCTATTTTAAAGGTATATATGGATATTACGAGCTTTGTAAGGCTGTCTTAAGAAAATTGTATTTTGAAATTTAAAAAAAAAACGCTATGCAATAGTGTCAATAAACACTAAAAAAAACTTGTAGTACTGTAGGTTCATTATAAAAATTGTACCCTGATGTATTAAAATAAATAATCATCATTCCTGTATATTAATAAATTGTGCTAGTAGAAAATGTTTTCATTATCAAATCATTTAAATTTCTTTAAATTACAATTAAAATTCTTCATTTGCATCTTGCAAATTGTTAACTGTTCTGAATTGCAGACGTCTTCTGGAAATTCAGAGAAATAGTGGTTTCTCATTGTCCTCATTTTCGCTATTAATAAAATTTACTTTTACTATGTTAATTTTACTTTTCTGTTAAAATTAATCCATTCATCGTATCACAAAACCTTCTGGGAATCATTTAACTTAATCAATCAAATAACATAAAAATACACGGTAAAATTTAAACCTCGTGCTTTGGGATAAAATAAATTTTAACCAAAGTTGTATTTCTGTGATCACACAGATTAAACTAAATAAGCTATTCTTCAGGAATAGACGGAGTAAGTCAGTAAAATGGTCTCTGTCAAAAAATGTGTTGAGTTTAATTCAAAGGGATGTTCAATGCTTTCCGAATATGATGATTTATGATTTATGATGTTTATATCTTGCAAATATTTGCAAGATATAAACATCTTAAGCCGAAGACAATTTTTCACATTTACAACAGAATCGAATACTTGAGTCAGCATTTAGAGAAATAAATATGTAAGGTACTGACGGAATTTGTTATTGGAGTTTACTCCTTAAGAAACGATTTGAGTTATAAGGCCCGGTACGGAAATTTTACGAGGAGTAAAATCAAGTGTAACACGAAAAGTTGAGGCGTTATGTGTAACACGAAAAGTTGAGGCGTTATGTAGAAAGAGCCAAATGGATTGAACGTGTAAAAGAATGAGATGGAATACACATTTTCTACAATTTTCTACAATTACACAGACTTTTCTATTTTGAATTCACGTTTTGACAGCCACGTTACAACATTGTCAGTGTCGACAGGTGTAAAAAATAAAAGTAGATTGTCTATGCCATAGAGTTTTGTCAATAGTAAACTCCAATCGTGCGTCGTAGCTGACACACACACACTTTTTTTATCTATAAAAAAAACGCATGCTACTTCAGAATATTGGCCATTTCATGTTGACATGTTAAAACTGTTATTATTTATATATATTACAAAGAAATCATATAATTCTCAGTTTAACATGTACATTTAAAACTCTAGAAAAGAAGACAACATGCCCGCCCTTTTTTGTAAAATCTGTCGTCATGATTGAGATGATGCATAGCTACAGTTTATGATTGTGATTGTGTCCAACACGAGACCTTAATCGGGAAACTCCGCCACTATGGCATCAAGAATACCGCACTGAATCTTCTGACTTCCTATTTACACGGAAGAACTCAGAAGGTTAAAGTGAATGGTAAGAGGTCCTCTGGGTCGGCAGTAGATATGGGGGTACCACAGGGCTCAATTCTTGGCCCTTTCCTCTTTCTTGTTTATATAAATGATCTACCTTTCATGGTAGAGAGAAAACATCAGATAGTTTTGTTTGCTGATGACACGTCCTTGATTTTTAAAATCAAACGACAAATAACAAATTTTGACGATGTGAACAATGCTCTGTCTTCGATTGTCCATTGGTTTAGTATGAATAACCTTCTACTTAATGCAAAAAAGACAAAATGCATTAAATTTTGTGCAAAAAATGCAAGGGTTATGGTTACTAGACCAATTATAAACGGTGAGGAATTGAATCTGGATGATACAACTGTATTTCTCGGAATCACCATGGATTCAAAACTTCAGTGGTCCCCTCATATTAACGGATTGGCGAAGAGACTTAGTTCTGCAGCCCACGCGGTTATAAAAATTCGCTCACTAACTGATGTCGATACAGCTAGACTTGTTTATTTTAGTTACTTTCGTAGCTTAATGACTTATGGCTTATTATTATGGGGTCATGCTGCTGATGTCGAAACTATTTTCATCCTGCAGAAGAGGCTTATTCGTGCAATCTATAATTTAAAATGTAGGGAATCTCTTAGAGATAAATTTAAGGAAATTAATATACTTACCTTTCCCTCGCAATATATTTATGAAAATATTATGTATGTATACAAAAATAGTGATAAGTTTACTAGAATAGAACATACGCACAATGTTAATACACGGAACAAACGCAGGCTGCAATTTCCCCTTACTAGACTATCTAAAGTTAGTAATTCTTTTTTGGGGAAAGGGATACTCTTCTTTAATAAAATCCCAGAGGCTCTTTTATCACTGCCTTTCAATAAATTTAAGAAATGAATATATTAATAAATAATAATATTAAAGAAAAGCTGTGTAAAAAGGCTTACTATAAAGTCAACGATTATCTAGTTGATAAAAGGGCCTGGGACTAGTGCTAGACAGGCTACTTCTAATTAATTTGCGATATTTGTTTTAAATAAGTGTTGTTTGATGATTTGCTGTTTTAAAAGAGTACCGAGAGTTTTTTACGCCGGCTTTTTCTCTCGGCCTACACCCTCTGTCTTCTTTGCCGATGAGTAGGGATGCCTTCAAATTTAATGACGTGGAATAAGTGATACATGTATCTTATGTTCCATAATAAACATATTCTATTTATGTAGATCAAGCTTTTCAAAGTTATCAGTTCTGATAGCTGTGGCCGTTAGGTTATTTAAATTTTTTATTGTTTGTTTCAATATAATTTGCATTGTAATACTTCTAGTACCTATATGGTCATTCTCAAACCACTACAGTATGGTACAATGCCATTAAACAATAGGATGCTTGAATATCTTCATGTAATTGATTAGGTTATATCTCTAGTGCATGTTAGCACTTTGCGACAAGCCACTCCTAGTTATGATAGCCAAGAGTTTTGTACCTACCTACAGTAGGTATATATAAGTTGTAGAGCTGTCTATAATAAAAAATTATGTTGTTCTTAATTACAGTTTGTGCGGTATATTATTATATGGGTTCATATATTTTAAGATAAGCATATTATGCCATCCATAGAAACGGGATAGCTATAAGACGATGGCTGGCCATGCGTCATACTCGTGAACGGGTGCTGCTTGTGGTGACAGGTCGGAGTTGAATTCGTGTATGCGGTGATGTTAGTTAATTCGACTATGTATTTGCGTGTTGTTCTCATGAGAATGGAAGTGCGTGTTTCTACTTCACCATGCCTCCCGCTGACAGAGGACAAATCTGTGTTTTTATTAATTACTTAAGATGTCGTGTGAAAAATAGTGTAATGGTTGCAGCTCCTTACAAGCATTGTATAAAGAAAAACTTAGCGATTAAAAAAAGTGGCGAAGAGTTTATTGCCAGTTCTTCTCTTCCTTTCTTCGCCCTTGATTTGAGAACGGGTAGTAAATGTAAAATTAGAAGTATTTAATATGTATTTCTTTTTTTGACGTTCATAAGTGTACATTGTGTTACCTATATGCATAAATTATTTTGATTTGATTTATAAAAAGATATCGCAGCCCATGAAAAGATATGTAAGTGGTTGCCGGTCATTAAGGGAGGAGTATTCTTTTTTTTTGGACTCTTCCAAATGTGGGACGCGACGGAAATTTATATTCCCATAATGTAATAAAATTAAATCTTGAATTGGAATAATAAAATATAATCTCTGTTTCTTTAATTAATATAAAGTCATTGTATTTTGTTACTAAAATTACTTTGAACTAGTTTCACTCCGTAAGTAATTTACGTAGCTTAACTTATGCGCAGAGGAGTTTGGTAGACAACTCACGATGATCATGCAGACTGTAATTACGTGCAAGTAATTCCATATATACAGTTAACCTGGTCAAAATCGTTATTTAATAATTATATTAAATAGTTAAAGATAAGGGTATTAATCCAAACAATTAAATGATCTACTTTTTTGATAGAAATGGTAATGTAATATGTAGAACGGATGAGAACTGGCGAGATACTACAACCACTCTTTAATGTGGCTAAAATAAGTTGAATAGTATTTAACGTTTAGTTTCAGAGCTTTAAGTCGGTAACTACATATTTGGTGATCAACTG